TAGAAGTGCCCAGTGTGTCCTTGAAACTTAATTTAGCTACAGTGTTGATTAGTACTACAGCACTGTAATTTAGTCAACAAATCTACTCCCATGTTTTATCTTCTCTTCTCCTATGACCAACTAACATGCAATCTAACTAATTTCCACTGATGCTAAAGACTTTTACCAAAAAGCAGAAAGGGCTGTTATACAGGTTCTCTGTTTCCTCCCATTCTTATTAATTTATCACTGCCTACCTCTGCCTTAAAAAGTGAGTTCTATTTTATAGTACAGCTGGGCTGATTCTTTGTAATTTGATTTGTTTACTCTGAAAAAAAGGCTGATTTGATTTGTATTTAAAGCTCACAGTTTGTTTAGCACTTAAAACATATTCAAAATACATAAGGAAATATGTAAAAAATAAACAATACTGAAAACTTGTCTGGTAATATTATATGACGCTGTTATAGTACAAAAGAACCTGTGATCTTTATATTCTTGGGGCTTCATTCTACAAGGATGTAAAGGTTTTCATACTCACAATATCCCCCACTCCAAAAATTCTCAGTACCATAACTGAGCAGAGACAGTTCCTGTATTTCATAAAATGTTTGCACCTAACTGGGTATGGAGCCTGTTCTTTGTTCTGCTGTAAATAACTCCACAGAAAAAAAAATGAGGCCATCAATGAAAACAAGAACCTGTTATTATTGTGTACTCATTAAAACAGGAGATGTTGCATTATGAAACTAAAGTCCCTTGGATACATTAAAGAAATGTATTCCATAGTTCAAAGCTTCCCGTCCGGATCTGCTGGAGCCAATCCCTAAAGTCTTTATTTGTTTCCCAAATCCTGATTCATCAAAACACTTTAAGTACCAATGAATCCAGTGGAATTTAAGCATATACTTGCTGAATCAGTGAATCAAAGAAAATTCTCAGTTAAATCAGTGAGGGTTTTTTGCTTAAGAAGTACAAAGAGTTTCAAATGTTGCCTCCTTGTAACTTACACTAGGATCTGAGACAGTATGTGTTTAGCCAGCTCTTGCTACACCCTGATCTCCGCCCAAACCAGTTCCCTTATTTTGGTCACTTATCTGTGGCTGGTACTATTAGTGACTATAAGAACTTCAGACACGGTGTTAGTTGAGTGGGTGGAGACATGCCAAGGCTTAGGTTGTAATAATTTATTTTAGCCATCTCCTTTTTGGAACCCATTTAGCTTCTAATTAGAAACTGCTGTTTTTGTTTTCTTTTAGTCCAGTTCCCAAAACTTCTGTGTATTTCAATGAAGTTCAACCATGTGCCCCTATCTGCAAAATTTATGACACGTTACAACCTGCCTGACATCTGACTCTCTAGGTACCTCTCCACTATTTAACTGCTACATTCATCCCCCTTCTCCCCCCTACCCAGCCTGTCTCTCACCCACTGACTCCTCAGTTTACATCTTCACTGACTGCCTGTCTTGTATGCATACCAGCCCAGCCTCTGGCTTTTTTACTATTCATTCCATCCAGGAAGAGCACACACCAACTGCAGAGACTTCCTCAGCCTGATGAAGGGTTTTTAAACTCAAAAGCTTGCCAAAATTTTTTTCCAACTATTTAATTTGGTCTAATAAAAGATATCAGATTCACCCAAAGAACCTTGTCTGCCTATCTGCAAAAAGCTTTTAAATGTTTGATCAACATTTGCCATCATTTGAAAGGTGTAAGCAGTCATTTGGAAAGAAAAATGGGGGAGAGATGTACTTAAACTCCAGTAGATACGATTGGCCTGGAGGAAAGAGAATGGCAAAAATGAGCCATGGGAATTGCCTATGTAAACAGAGGTGACTGGCATATAAATTAGGCAGTAATCTGATTTTCCAATGTATTCTTATCTTTTTCAATCAATGGGTTGGGAAGGGATCTCAAGGGTCATCTAGTCCAACCTCCTGCATAAATGCAAGATTCTTTAACTAACTTTGCCGAATGATTTAGTAGCCTCTTTTTAAACTCTTTGATGAAGGAGATTCTACAGTGTTCTTAAGCAGCTTACTCTACTGTTCTCAAGATAAGGAAGGTTTTTCTGAGATTCAATCTGCTTTGCTGTAGTTTAACCCACTGTTTATGTCCTGCCCTCTACAGTGAGGGAGATAAGTTATTCTCTCTTTTTTTATGGCAACCTTCCAAATATTTGAAAACTGCTATCATGTCCTCACTTAATCTTTTCTCCAAGCTAAACCTATGTAGTTTTCTCAGCCTTTCCTCATATGGTATGCATTCTAATTCCTTTATATTTAGGGTGATCATACATCCTGGTTTGGCCAGGACAGTCTCAGATTTCGTAGACTGTCCCAGTTAGTGAAAATTCAAGAAAAAATCCTGGATTGGTGCCACCCTGTCCTGCGGGCTCCTCGTGAGCAGCAGCTGGAAGTGCAGGGTGGGCTGGATTGGGCACCACTCTTGCCTGGGGTGGGGATTGATCAGGTAGGGGAGGCGGGGGGGTGGGGAGAAGGGAGTGATAGAAGGGGTGATAGACAGAGGAGTGAGTCGACAGTCACAGAGGCAGCGAGGGGCAGGGGTCGGGGCAGCAGGGAAGTGGTGGAGAGGAATTGATGAGAGGAGAGAGGCAGCAAGGGAGGGAGGAGGGAGAAGATGAAGGAGTGAGTGGAAGGTTCAAGGAGAGAGGCATGGGGAAAGGAGTCAAAGGAGGAGGAAGCTGGTAGGGTGCAGTGGGGGGCATATAGAGGGGGTCTGATGAAGACAAGAGGAGGCTACCCATGTTCAGCCTCTCGCGAACATGATGGTCAAACAGCTGCACAAGGCTCAGTGCAGCCTGGATCTGGACAGACACACACATACATAACTCCCCCCCCCCCCCCCAAGATTTAAACTTTTTCCCTGCTCAACCGCAGCCTCCCAATCAGCCTTCCTCCTCCTCCTCCTTCTCTTGATCTCTTGCCCAGCAGAGCCCCAGCCACCTGCTTTCCTGACCTACTCACCCCATGTCCCTGTGAGCAGTCCCTGCCCCCTCATTCTGCTGGCCAGTGATGAGATGGAGTGGCGTGGTGTGGTGCCCAGAGAGGCAGTGTCCTAAATTTCCTTAAAAATAATATGGTCACCCTATTTCTAACCTTTATTGCTTACCAATGGATCCTCTCCACTTACATCCTACCTAAAATGTGGAGCCCAGAAGTGCACCCAATACTCCAGCAGAGGCCTAACCAACACCAAATGCTCCAAGTAAAGTGATACCATGACATACTACTGTCTTACATACAATACTCCTGTTAATACAGCCCCAAATTACATTTTTTGTGGTTGCATCACATTGCTGGCTCAAGTTGGGAGCATGATATACCAAAAACCTTATGTCCATCTCAGCCATAGTACTGCCTAGCCAATTTTTTCTTGTTCTGTATTTGTACAATTAGTTTTTCTTCCTGGGGTGCAGCACTTTACATTTGCCTGTGCTCAAATTTCATTTGTTGTTTATAGCCCAATTGTCCAACTTAATTAAGGCTCTTTTGTCTCTTATCCTCTGAAGTGCTTGGAACCCTTCTCTGTTTAGTGTCAGCTCCCTGGTGTATTGCTCGTCTCAGAAAAATGAGTAGAATTTAGTTTGCTTATGGTCAGTATTGAGTGGTATTTAAATGACTCTATAATGGATATAATGAATTAGTACACATTACATCCATTAGTATTAGGATTCTTATCATTTTTATGGCTTTTAGAATTCTGTTTGCAAGAGGGAATGTGTGACTTTAGTGTGATCTGCTGCTCAAAAATCCCGGAAATGTTCTATTAAATTGTATAGACGGTTCTGAAGTGAGATGAAGGATTGAGATTTTGTCCCTTTCTCTCTCTGGTAGCTTTGTCCTGTGAGGAGCCTTACTTCTCAGACTCAGCGCATGTTTCAGCTCTCAGCTGAAATCAGACAAGGGCTGTTCACCAGGGCACCCCACGGGAAGACTGGGTCCAATGGTCACAAACTCCTGGAAGACGTTTTTAGGCTGGACATGAGGAAAGACTTCTTTACTGTCCGAGTCCCCAGGGCCTAGAATAGGCTCCCGGCAGAGGTGATGCAAGCACCTACTCTGGACTCCTTTCAGAAACACACAGATGCCTGCCTTGCCAGGATCATTTGACCCCTGCTGACCAGCGTTCCCTCCAAGCTGCAGGCGCGCCCGGCAGTGCAGCATAAGCACACCTGTGCAGCCGTGCACGCCACGCAACGCTGCTGCTGACTGCTTGCCTTCGGGTGATGTGTGCCCCTGGAGTCCGGGGGGACACGGCGAGCTCCCGCAGGCGGTGGCAGCGCTGTCGGCGGTGGCAGCGTGGTGGAGGCAAGCGGGGAGCTCCTGCAGGCAGCTGCGGTGCTGTCGGCGGCAGGTGAGGGGAGGTGGTGAGCGATGACCAGTGGTTGGCAACGACCCGCAGACACCGACAGCAGCGGCAAGCGTCGGTGGTGGTAGTGCCCTTTCGCAAAGGGTGCACCGCCACGTTCAGAGTGTGCACATGCACCCGTGTCGCCGGTGGGGCTGATCTTGCGAAGTCTCTTCCAGCCTGAGCGCCCATGAAATCTGCGTGGCCCTTTTTCCTTAAGGCCGAGGGAAAACAAAACTACCCGCCCCCTCCAAAGCAGGAACTTGTTCCCTTGTGCTGGGCACCCTGGAGCAGGCGGCGATTTTGCAGTGCAAGGGACTGTCCCTTTTGGGGTGGGGGGGGGGGTTGGTGACAAGCGGGGGTCGCAACTGCCCGATCTCCGGCGGCTTTCCCCTCAAGCGGGTGAGAGAGAGGCCCGGGTGCGGCGCGGCGGGCCCGGGCCGCGCCGCGCCGCGCTTCGCCTTCCGCCCGCTGCCGCACAAGCCCTTCCCCGGGCTGCGCAGCGCCGACACCCAGCAGCGGCTGCTCAAGTGGTGCGTGTGCGTGTGCGGGTGCGGAGCTGCCCCCCTCCTCGGCCCCGCCGACCCCGGCCTGACGGGCCTCCTTCTCCTCCTCTTCCTCCCTTGCAGGTCGCTGCAGAGCGGGCTGGCGGCGCAGGCCTTCGGCTTCGACCAGTGCTTCGAGCGGCCCCGTCGGGAGCACTTCGTCCTGGTACCAGGGAGCGGGGCAGGCAGGGAGGGGGCCGGGGCCTTTCGGCTCTGTGGTTTCCCTCGAGGCAAAAACACGAGTGGGATGGCGTTTCCCGAGGGGGTGGGGTTTCCTAGGTGCCACCAGTGTACGCGGACAAGCTGCCTGGGATGCACGTGCACACAAGATTTATTCGTCCGGCCAAAATGGGCCGGGCCAACCGTTCAGCGAACTAGGCAGTCAAAATAATAAGCGGACCAAAATAACAGGAACATTGTTCCAAATGGCAGCCCCTCAGTCCCGACCGGCAGGCCCTGCCCCCAGGCCAGCGGTGCCCCTCGCTCCTGCCCAGCGCACCCACCCCGCGGGGCTGCGGGGGCCGGTCTCCTCACTGAGCCCTAAAAGTTCATGCTAGACTTCTTATTTTCCTCTGTACTGGAAGTGGTGGAGGCGTCAATTACCCTTGGAGCGGCCCTGGATGGTGGTACTTGTTGTGTCGTTTTAATTTGGTGGTGCGCAGTCGGTCAGTTTGGGAACCGCTGGCCTCGGGGATCTCTTGTGCTGGACCAGCTGCGCAGTTGGGATAAAATGGGACAAGCTTTGGGATGCCGGACGCCCTTCCTGCAGTGTGGGTCCCAGAAAGTAAGAGCGATGTAGCCAGGATGGTCCTGGAATGATGCCGGAGGCAGGAGCTTCTTAGGATGCTGCTCTCTTTCATTGGACCAACTGTCAGCCAGTCAATCCAGGGGCTGGGGATGTAGCAATAACTTTCCTCCTTTCTTCCCAGTCTTTTGCAATCAGTCAGTTTTAATCCTGTCCAGTCTTTGATGTGGGTGGTCCAGCTCGTCTCAGATCTTCCTCTTCATCTATCCAGCAGCCTCCTGCAGGATGGTGTTGGCAAGCGTGCGGGGTCTTCTTGTTACAGGTCCAAACCACTGCATCTTTCTTCTTATGATTTCAAGTAAGGGTTCATGTTTGCTGACTTCTCGTCTGATTTGATCTTTCACAGATGCATTTGTTCTGCATGCAGCGTAGGGTATGTGTAGAAATCTTCTGTAGCACCGACCACATTTCAAAGGTCTCAGTTTGCTTTTCCAGGGCCCTAGTGAGTGTTCAGGTCTTGCAGCCACAGAGAGTTACTGAAAAGACAACAGCAGGTATAGGTGGAGTTTTGTTTTCATTGTGACGTTGCTACCAGTCCAGATTTTCTTCAGCTTTGGTAGTTGTCCAGTAGCAACAGCTATTTTTGTTTTTACTTCTTTTTCTGATGTTGCATGTTCTGTGATGGTTGCTCCAAAGTATTTAAAGTGTTTTACTTTTTCTAGTTTCTCATTACCAATGTTTACTGACTGACCAACTACATAGTTGGCATAAAGTTAGACCAGCTCCCTCCTCCCCACCATGAACCCTTACTTGAAATAATAAGAAGAAAGACGCAGTGGTTTGGACCCCGTACGCTTGCCAACACCAGATCCCATAGGCCAGCGGTTCCCAAACTCTGACCCAAGCTGTGCTTAACTTGCTGTGCCTGGCTTCCTATAATCAGAGACCTGAGGAAACGTCTTGCATTTGAAAGCTTGTCTAACTTTATCCCAACCATGTAGTTGGTCCAATTAGGATGATATCTTTTATTGAACCAACTATGCGGTTGGGATAAAGTTAAACAAGCTTTTGAAAGTAAGAGGTTCTTCCTCAGGTCTCTGATTATAGGAAGCCAGGCACAGCAAGTTAAGCACAGCATAGGGAAGGGACTGAGGGGTTTTGTCTAACCGTGTCCGAACTACACAGTTGGGCCTGTAAAAGATAGCACCTTAAGAAATCCTTGCCTCTCAAATGATTTCTGGACCATCACAGTTAAAAGTTGAGAAGCACTGCACTGCTGTAGAAATCCACCTGCACATGTGATTAAATGTAACTCTGCATTCACTTACAGCAACTGTCCCCCCACACCAATGGCAGATCTAGGATTTTGAAAATCCCAGTACAGGTGGTATGGTGCCTTATATATAAACACAGTGCATTTTTCTCCAGTTAAAGAGAAAGTCGAATCTTTACTAATATGGTAGGGGGCCTAGTGCTATATTATGCAGTTTAAGAGAAAAGAGAAAACAAATACAGCTTTGTTGGAATACACATGAATTTGCTAGATGAAATATCAATTAAAAATACAACAAATTAGGCAAAAAATTGTCAACAATTGTTGTATTAGTCCTGTAGTCATTATAGTTAAATGTTTGTCTCTAATTCAGATTTGTAAAACAAAATCTAGCCTTCTTAAGCATCTTGGCAGTGCATCAAACAGTCATTCACTGTCAGTCATTTCCACACTTGAATTAAGGTTTTTAGGTAGACCTAAAAACAGGCTGCAGGGCTGTGAAATAGAAGAGAGACATTAAAAGGAATGGCTAAAAGACAGCCAAAGTGTAGAAGAAAGGATAGCTTCATTGTTTAGACATCAAGACCATTAAAAAAGAGAGAGGGTTGTTAATACCTGTGGGGTGAAGAGAGATTACCAGGGATCAAGTAGATTATAATAAATGATGAATGAGATGAGCTGGGATGATATAGTTGGGGGTGGTTCTGCTTTGAGCAGGGAGTTGGACTAGATCAGTGTTTCTCAACCCGTGGGTTGCGACCTAAAAGTGGGATGCATCAATATATGAAAAGATCGTGAACAAATTTAAAAAAATGGATCAATACACTTTAAAAAATGGAGTGTCCTTTGAAGGAGAAAAACACAGGAAACGGTGGCTTTTCCCTTGCAGGCTGACAAAGTTCCAGCCTACAAGAGGTTGTTTGAGGCTGCTTGGGCCCCCCTCTGCCCCACACATTGGGGGAAGAGGGCCTGGGGGTGGGGGACAGCAGGTTGGGAGTGAGGGGCACTGATTTGGGACTGGCCATTAATGTTTACAAAAGGGTCCTGCTACAAAAAAAGTTGAGAGCCACTGGATTAAATGACCTCCCGAGGTCCCTGCCAACCCTCATTTTCTATGATTCTATGAATTCCCTCAGTGCTGTTTGAACAGAAATGCCACTGCCCCTCCTAGGCAGTTGGTTTTAAAATTTGGGAAAGCAGGAATCAAAGTGTGGGTGCAACTACACCACTGAACCTCCTTGAATCCATCCCCACCCCACACTATGTGCTTCTGCATTCACTCACTAGAAAATGTAGGACCTGATTTTCAGAGGTACCAGGGATCACTAGTTTGTGTTGACTTCATCTGGACTTGTAGATGCTCAACTGAGAAACTATCCTGAGACGGTAAACAGAGCTCTTTAAATAGGTAGGTGTATATGAAAGTCCTGTTCACCTCAGTGAAATGATTTTATTTTCTCAAGGAGAATTCACCTCCAGGATTTAAAACCAGGTTGGTTTTCTCCTATTTGTTGAATCGACCATTTGTAGTTCCAGCTTGCTTTTCCTGGAGATGAAGCCACAGCTGTCTGAGGTTTTAAAGGGATTCACGTACACTCAGAAATGTACATTTGATCTCCTGCTAAGATTGTTCTGTACCTTAAATGTTTGAAGACTTACAAGATGCATCTTTTACTTCCATAAAATATTTTTTAGGTTTTAAAATCTAAACAAAAACATTAATAAAATCAAACTAGTTCATACATTTGATGAGTTTAAGACTTGATAGAACTATTTAGAGCATTTAGCCTGATCTATTGCATATCAGAAGCCTTTCAATTTCATCCAGTATTGAGCCCAGTAAGCTGTATACTTGACTGTGCTAAAGTTTTAACTAAAGTATATTTTCAGCAAGTCAACCCATTTTTTATGTAAAATGTAAGAATCTACCATTTTCTTTGGTAGTTTGTTCTTATGATTAAGGTTTTTTTCCCCTCAACATTTTTTCATTTTTTGGGGGGAAGAGGAGGGGTTAATGCATTATTTCTAGTTTAGATTTGCCTGGCATCAGCTAGCGGGTTCTTGCTTTCTATTTTAGATGAAAGGGTCTTTTAGTTTCCAATATTTTTAAATATATACTTGGAACACTCTAATCAAGTTAACTGTCATGCTGCTTTTTGATAAGCTAACCAGACTGAGCTCTTTAAGTCCTCATTGTAATGCATTTTTCTCCAGCTTTCAAATAACTTGTGGCTCTCTCCTGCACCCCCTCCAAGTTGTCAACTCCCTTTTCTTAAAATGTGGGCACTGGAATTATGCATCATAGTCCACTATGGGTTTTACCTGTGTTGCATACAGAGAACTTCCCAATTACTTCCTTGATAGTGTGGGAGTGATGTTGTAGTCATGATGATCCAGGAAAAATGCAAGGGACAAGGATTTTTATTTTCAGAGACCTGAGGAAGGGTACAGTGATACCTGAAAGTTTGCCTATGACTAGGGCCTTGTTTAAATTGCATACTCAGCTGGTGGTACAGCAGCTCCTTTTATCTTGGAGGTCCCCCTGTGCGCCTCCCCTCTCCCCACACTGCTGATAAGTGGAAGGGTTTGGTTAGCCCAGCCACTTGCTCCTAATGGCCAGGAGGAGAAACAGCAGTTTTAAATATGCTGCGGTTTTTGCCTCTTGCTGCTGACTGGACAGGAGGCAAAAAGTGCGGCATATTTAAAACTGTGGTTTTCGCCTCCAAGTCATCAGGAGCAAGCAGGGAGACCAATGGGGCCTTTCCACCAATCAGCAGCGGGAGGATCATGAAGGGGGAACTTCAAGATTAAAGGAGGTGCTGTGCCGCGAGCTGGGCCCGTGATTAAAACCAAACCCTACCTATGACCATCCCAGCTATACAGTTGGTCCAATACAAAAAATCACCCACAAAAATTCTTGCATCTCAAGTGTTTGCTGTTCTGCAAATACTTGACTGCAGACTAGCACGTTAACTATGTCTCTGCAAATACACCCAAGGACTGCAGGAGCCTTTTTTTGATACAGCATCTCAGAGGGAACTCACTCAGTTGGTTATCCATTATGACCCCAAGTCCTTTTCAGAATCAGTACTTTCCAGATACAGTTACCCCATCTGGTAAATATGGCCTTTCTTTCTTGTATCCAGAAGTCTGACTTTACACTTTTTTTTACTGAATGCATTTTTTTAATGGATCCAGTTTGCAGGGTGATTGGTTAGCTCTGTATGGCTGCCCTGTCCTCCTCACTTACCATTCCCTTGATTTTGTTGTAATCTACAAGCCTGTCTGTAGTGACTTTCTAGTACAATTAACTTCAGAATACCATATCAGCTGAATACCATATCAGCTTTTCCATTTTTTGCTTGGTATTGATCTTGGTCTAACTAACTTAATGACTGGGCTAACTAATTATCTAGGAGAGGGCTGTCCAACTTTTAAGTGGACAGGGACCTACACCAGTGGGTGCTGCATGCTCCAGAGGCTATACTAGTTTGAGCCCTGGGGTCCTAGGCCACCTCCACCACCCCTCACCATACTGTGCATATGGGCAGCCCCCACTGTGTGTGTGCATGTTTGTGTGTGCAGGTGTGTGTGTACACACGCACACACACACACTGTTGAATTGTGTGAGTGGCCCCCACCACATTTCACCTGCTGCATTCACAACCCTGCACCATGGGTTGCAACACCCTGTCTCCTGGGATGGCAGCAGGAAGCAAACGCTGAGGGAAGGAGAGGGAGCCTAGAGACCCCAGGTGCAGCATCAGCACCTCATAGGCTGCCAGCTGGACAGCCCTAATCTGGGTCATTACATTTCCATTTTTTGGAATGGTGGCACAATGCTAGTATCCTTAAGTCTTCTTCAACTTCCTGGTATGTCAAGGTTTATTGAAAATTAACATTGCAGGTCTGAGACTTTCTCAGTAATTTCTTTTAAGTGTCTTGAGGATTATCTAAGCCTATTATTTTAACCCTACACACCCACGCATTGCCCCACACATAGGGGGCTAAGGCTTGGGGGTGGGCAGTGGGTTGGGAGTGAGGGGCACTGGGTTGAGACTGGCCATTGATATTTACAGATGGGTCCTGGTACAAAAAAGGTTAATAACCACTGATCTAGAGAGAGTATGAAAATTATGTATGACTTGCTGCAGAAGAAAATTACACTATTTTACAAGATGTTACTTATTTAAAATATATAGGACCAAACTGTCCATCTTGAGTATCAATATTTTTGGACATACTTTTGTATACTGAGAACCTCAGATTGCATGCATAAATGTATTTGGGTACACAGAAATCATGAGTATGTAAAAGAAATCGCTTTGCCCAAAACTTCATAGACATATACTTGGTGGCATAATTCTGGATATGCAAAATGAGAAGTCAGACTGAATCTACTTTTTAATTGGGTTCCTAAGAGGTATATACTTTAACTAACTCTCATTCTTGATTTAAAATTTATAGGACTTTTTTAATGATCCAAATGTGAACTCCAATTTGAAGTTGCTTTCAGGTTCTGGAGAGTGGACTACATTAGGTAAATTTAGAATATTTTTTCTTTTCTTTTTTTTCTTCTTCCTATGTGGTAACTTTTCTCATTTTAAAGGTATGTAACACTGATGACTTGTATCCATACAGTTACCTGGATGAAATAATAAATGTACACCAGAAAATTCCTTTAATAAAGTATCTTTTAACAATAGGTAAGGAACATTAGTTTATGTTACTAAATCATTGTTTTATGGCAGCAACGATTTAATGGTGTTCTTTCCAGATGGTCTACAAAAGTAGATAAGGCTAGCTAATATGTTCAATGGTGCTGCAGACTTTGCTCCTCTCTGGTAAGAACAACTGTGTTTTTGTAAAGATTGGACACTTAGGTTGTGCTCTGGGTTGTGTGAACACAAGGTAACCCAGTCACCTGTGTGACAACCAAGAATCTACTTTGCAACAGGATAATGCCCAGGAGTGTTTTGCATACAGATACAACCATAATTGTCCTATGTCAAAGATAGCTGGGAGAAAGGAAGAGTATCCCTACACAATCACAGGCTTCAATTACTTAATGTCATTTTGTACATGTGTGCACAGGAGTGGGGAGGTGCTTCTACTGCCCCCTCTATTGTAGCCCCAGCTTCTTGTGGCATGAGCTTGGGGAATGCCAAGTACTCTGTCTTGTTTTAGGCAGCAATGTTTCATCTTAGGGTTCTGTATTTGGCCTTTAGATCAACAGAAAACACAGAAGATGCCAAGAATTTCTCTATTTTGAAGCCCATTCCAGGTACCCTTTTTCTAGCCAGATTCTAGCAAGCTCAAGGAAAGACAGTACCCCACATCATAAGTACATCTACATCTGGCCCTCTACTGCTTTGCACAAGAGCCTTCGTAGGTTTTGTCTTGCCTGTGACTTTCCAGGCCCTCCTTTGGGAAGGTCAGCAGATTGCCCTGTGCTTGGGGTAAAGAGACACCTGTCAAATATTCATAGGATTTTATCTCCTGATGATCCTTGAATGTTTCTTCTCACTGGGCACAAGAGTAATGGATTTTATTTCAAATACTAGACGTGTTATCTCTCTCTCAGATCCTAAATAGTCATCATATTTTTTCTGCATATTTTTGTGAGAAACGTTGGTTCTGGTTTAAAATCCTGGAAGCAAAAACTGGTCTTCCAGTATTCTAGCAATGTCCCCCAAGCATTCAGATTCTCAGTTTAAGATTCCCTGTACATTTATGAGTGTAGAGGCACACTTTATAATTAACATTCCCATCCTTTTCCATGAGTTCTTTGGAAGCTTCTAGCTAAAAAACGTTAACTATAGATCTGGAGGAAATGAGTGACTACTTACTACTTCATCTAAGTTGTTAATCTAAATTCAAAGGCTGTGTTTCCTTTTTTTTAAAGTCTCCTTAGGATGCATGAGGCAGTATCTAAGGAGTTCAGCTAGAGCATGAAAAATTTACCCAGCAGCTTAGGACACATCCAGACAAGCGTGCATGGGTGGTATGCAGCACTGCAAACCCATGTGTGGCACTGCACATGCCGCACATGCAAGTGTTCCCTGTACTGCTAATTTGCAGGGTGGCGGGTGGGAGTTTGACACCAGAAGATCCCAGTGTCAAAAAAATCCATACCTGAAAAAAATAGGGTAGCACATGTGGTGGCAGTGCGCACCTCTCAAAACCACAGCCTGGCCAGCTAAAGCCATTCTCTGGCTGCCAGCCAGGATCTCTGCTGTAGGACCACTGTGGTTTCAGCCCCTGGAGGCCCCCAGGACCCCAGATAATGCTGCTAGGGCCAGCCCAGTGTTGGCCCCAGCCTCTCCTTCCCCACCTGAGCAACATGCCATGTACCAGAGTGCGCATCCACGGGTGTTCCCCCAGGACAAGTGGCAGAGACACATATTGTACTGCTGCTGTTTGTCCACAAGGAAACATATGTTCCTGCTCGTGGGGACACACCCTTTGAGTCTGGGCAGAAAAATATGTGGTGCATCCACACTTACAAAGCAATACCCAAATGTATATTTTAACACATTATCAGCCTTTTAGTTATATATTTTGCATTTGTAATGTCTTATTTTCTAGACTCACACTTTCCCTATGATTGTAATGTATCTTTTCCATCCCATCCTCCCCCACCCCCATGATTATAAGGTATCTTCTCTTTCTCCTGTCTTCAGTGTCTTTCCTTTTGTCTTTGCCTGCTCTCCTTATCATTACCAAAAAATCTCATCTGTATTTGTTTACTAACTTATCGCCTCAATTCTTTCCAATCTTTTGACTGTCCGGTGAACAGTTTTTACCATTTTTTGTCCTAGATGTATGGGACAGAGATTATATAAAAATTGGGTGGCTGGGAGAAGAGAGGCAGTACTGAGGTGTGAAGTCACGTCACAGTGGTTTGGATTTCCTACTCAAATTCTATCCCAGGACTGTGCTTAAGGGTTTCTTTCAGTCTACAGCTGACGTTTTAGTTGTCCAGTAAATGGATTTACTTATTGGACACCTAAAATGTCCTCCCCATGTCCTTCTGTCTAGGTCAGGGTTGTCCAAATGAGAGGACACCTGTGGCCCCTCTGCTCCCAGTCTGAGTGCTGTTCACCCCACTGCTGTCCTGGTGCTGCTACCAGTGTCTCCGAGCTCCGCTTTATTTATCATTAGCAGGAGGAGGGGAAGCAGCCAGAGAAATGAGAGATTGGGGTATGGTACTCTACTCCTGTCATGCTTTCAAAGTCCTCTTCCTCATTACTAGCCTACTGCTTTTAGCTTTCCCAAATATCAGCAAAGTCGAACTGCTCTGATTCTTGTCAATTTGACTGCTGCTTGTAGTGCTTTGAGTAGCTGCAGTGAAAACGGACCAATGGTTTTCACTTTACTGCAGCAGTAGCACTGCACCTGCCTGTCAGCAAACTTAGGGAGGGAGCATTGCATCTGTTTAGACTCAGTTCACACTTACAAAGCTATCTTCAAAGCACTAGAAATGTCTTTTTAATAAATAAAAGCTTAGATTCTACAGAAGCTTACAGCACTTGTCTGGGAAAGGTTTCTAGTGGCCACATACAAGCTGACTTGTCAAGTTTTGATGACAGCCATGTAAAGTCCAGCTTATTTTTTTTAAATGCAGGGTGCTGTTTGTGTTTGAAGGGTATCCAGGTTGTAGCCATATTGTTCTAGAGGAAACGGCAATCAGGACTCGGTAGTAGAGATGATATCTTTTATTAAACAAACAAGATTTTTGCAAAAAAATTTCTTTAATTGCAAGCTTTCTGGCACAAACACCCTTCATCAGGCATTGGAGAAAAGATTGTAACAGTTCTTCTGGGTAGGAATGAAAGTTCATATTTCATAGGATTTCACAGAGGAGTCAATAGATGGAAAACTCCTTTGAGCAGTCAGTTCATATCTGGTATGGAGCCTCTTACCTCCTGTGAGGATCTGTGATGATGCAAATTACTTTGAAACAAAGGCAGGAGGAGGATCTCAGGTTTCAGGTGGTCACAGTTGCTTCCTGCTTGGGAAAATATGAAGATTTCATTTTAAAAATCAGCTAAAATTTGAATGTTTATGTTTGAAGTTATTCAGCATCTAATTCTGCCTACGAAGGATCAAATTGGATTCTTTCGTCTTTTTCTCATAACTTCCAAATTAAGGCTTGACTCAACTCCCATTAAAATCAATGGAAAGACTCTTTAAAAATATATTTCTCTTTCCTGTGAATTTGTAGCCAATTGATTAGAATTTGATTCTTTTTTGAGAGAGTCACTCCTTGAACCATGTACAGAATGTGTGGGGTTTTGGGGTTTTTTTGAGAGAACACTTTTTTAGTGGCTATATCAGTAAGCAGGAGAGTAGTTACAAAAGTAATTTTCAGAGGTTTTCAGTTGTTCTTCCTGGTATCTTACTTCTGAATAAGGTGCTTTAAAAATCTCAGATGGAGTTTTTCCCTAAATAGTAGGATGTCTTTTCATAACAGCATAAAAGATCTCTTGAACTTTTTTTTCTCTAAGCCTGATTATCTAGGTGAAATTGATTTTTTTTAAAGTAAATGTGGTTGTTTTTGGAAAGAAATGCCCATTTGATCATTATTCTGTATGGTTCATGGGAAAATATCCAAGGGAAAAAAGACCTTTTGAGTTAGGCTTTCTAAATGGGCTATGCTTTGCAGGCGTCAGCATCAGACTGGAATGTCAGATTAAACTGGATTCTGTTACGGGGGTCACTACTTATACTGCTCGTTTTAGGAATGGTTCAGTGCCTGAAATCTGCTCTGTTCTCACTTCGTATGTTAACAAAGTACTGGAGATGAAAACTCTGTAGTTCTTTTAGGTAAAATACTAAATTTGATAGAGCACTGCGTAGTTCCGTGTTCTCCTAAATAGCCCATAACTTTCCTAAATTCTTGTATTCTTGTTTAGTCTCCTATAGTGGAGAGAAAAGATAGAAACTGTCTGGAAATTGGAGTTGTGTAGATGTACTGCTTTTCTAAATGGAAGAGGAGATATGCACCTTTATAGACTAAGTAAATAAGATATATATATATAGAGTATGAGCTTTTGTGAACCCAAATTCACTTCATCAGATACTATGAAAGGACATGCTTTTGTGTAAAACCATGCTGACTGCTTTTTTCGAGTCTTTTTTGCCACACTTTGAAAAAGAGGGCAATCAAAGATGCATACAAAGACAGAGTCCTTTCTAGTTTCTGGTTCTGAAACATTTAGATTTTATAATGTTGCTAGTAATTTAATGGCTTATTGACTCTCAAGTGTGGCAGGAAACGATGATGTGGCTCTATAAAGACAATATATTCTGAAGTCTAATAATTTTCCTTTTCTTATAACACTTTTAGCTCTGCATACTTGCTCATCTGTTACTTATCTTGTTTGTTAATGCTCCTGACTGGTTTACTGATTCCGGAAGAAGTGTATGGGGCTGAAAGTATGCTGAATAATAGCCAGATTTATTGCTATGCTTGCAAATATTTCTCTCCTAAATATAGCTCTCTTATTTTTGTTAAGGATAGTTGCAATAATAATAAATTTCTTGCAGCAGGATTGTTTGGGCTAATAATTTGTATGCTGTGTACAACTGTGAGAATGTAAATTCATGAACTGTTTAAGTAATAAATGAAAGTTACTGTGTTTTCATCTTAGTTTTTTTCCTATTAATGAACTTGTGTGTCTTTCAGGTACCAACATGAAAAATATTGAAGCTACAGTTGTTCCTTGTACACAAGTTTCCATGTCATTTTTTGACCGATTGTACACTGAAGGAGTTGTTAGAGAGACTGGCCATATTGTGAAGTGTTATGATGAGTATTATGATGACATTCCCATCTCAGATGAGTTAAGGAAGGTCAGTACAGCATTTGAGATATTCTTAGAGTAGTTTTTATACCTTTTTTCAGATACTACTAACTCTTACTATCCATTGTTTTTTACAATGGTATCTGTATGCTTCTAAAGGCAGAATCAAGAGTCTGTAGCCATTTGAACTCCTGTGTGGTGTCATAACAACAACTACTTTAGCAGTTGCCTCATTTTTTCCCTTTTGTACAGGGAGGCAAAGAGAACAGCTTCTTCTCATGAAAGGAGGAGGAGAAGAAAGGAGTTCCTCATTCCCTCACAAGAAAAAATGGTGCTAGTGCCGCCTCTTTTTCTTTCTGTCTATACGGAGAGAATTGCAGATGCCAATAGAATGTCCTACTGACAGTGATTGTGGGCATACATAACAATTAAACCATTCCAAAATATAATTGATTGGGAACCAGGTCACAATTATCCACTTCAAGTTTAATCTGCATTTAAACTGGTCTGTTATGTGTGCTCCTTGATTAGGAGCAGATGTTTGGGGCATTCCAGGGAAGAAATCATTAAAAGTATTTTGAATTTCAATAAAAGAGAGGAAACAAATAAATAAAGGGAAAAGATATAAAGTAGAGGTGTACCAATATACTGGTTCCGTATCAGATCAACACCAATATAAGGAGAATTGACAGTGTCAGCCATCGGCTTTTTTTGGCTGATGTGGCCAATAAATGCCCTGTGCATGCGTGCAGCCCCAGTGGAGCCTGCAGGCGGCCAGGAGCATAGCCCAACAGCATGGAGAGCAGTGTCCATCTGGTAAATCTGTTGTGGTGGAAGGGGTGGGAGGAGGGAAGGGGCGTGGGGGAAGCAGATTGAGGTCCCTGCAGTGAGGGTAGGAGTGGGGCTGGGGCAGGGGCAGCTGCTGCCCAGCTGGGGTGGAGCGGGGCGCAAGATGGAGCCATGGCTCATCCAGCAGGTGTGAGAGGGGGTGGCTCCTGCTGCCACGTACCCCTGGCAGGGCATGGAAAGCATATGTCCTTGGATCTGCGCACAGGGCAGGGTGGGTTGCACCTGTTAGCTGGGACTGCTGTGCTGGGATCTTCCTGGCAGGCGCTGGGCCAGGTGGCACTCAGGGTGGGCTGCGGTGGCAGTGCTGAGAGGGAGGGTTGGGGGGACTATGGTGAATTCTGGGGTGGCTGCAGCTCCTGCCCCACCTAGCTCCCTTTCAGCACCTCTGCCACCCACCCCAAGTGCAGCCTGGCCCAACCCCCTCCCAGGAAGAGCCTGGTGCAGCTCCAGCCCCAGTCCACAACAGCAGCCCACCCACATGCCCCCATGCCCTCCTGGGGTGCATGCAACAGTGGGATCTGCACCCCTCCACACACCCCCTAGACCAGCCACTCGCAGCTCTGTCCTGCACTCCGCCCCACTCCAGCTGGGCAGCCCCAGCCCCACCCCCTCCCTTACGGCAGGGGCCTTGATTTGTGCCCCACCACCCGTTCCACCCCAACAAACTTACCAGCCAGATGCTATTCTTCAAGCTGCCAGCCTGCATATTGGAAATCGGATCGGTATTGGCCAATATGGCTTGTTAAAAATCGGCCATCAGTATCGGCCCAAAAAATCCCTATCAGTATACCCCTAATATAAAGCTATAAAGCTTGGGAAAAAAGTTCAGAAGCAGGTATAGTGCAGAGATTTAACTTTGAAATGTACATGATCCAAACTAACAGCATTTCTTTTTGGATTATTGTCTTATTCCTTCCTTCACTTATTATCACTCTTATATCTTAATGGTACTTAACTCTTAGTACTTTTAGTAGTCTTCATCCATAGGTAAACATTAGCTCAGGTAAATATTTTCCCCATATTATTTGCAGTAGTGCAATTCAAGTGCATTCTTATTCAGAAAAGTGCCCCTGTAACAATCAACAGATCTTTTTAGTGTATGTGTATCTTCTGATTTTAATGACTTGTAAATGAGGCTTATTTTACTATTACTTGTTCTGGGCTTGCACAGGTAAGTTTGAGAGAACTGTATTTTATTCACCCTAGTGCATAAGCACTTAAATACAGTCAGTCATTTATACTTGGCAGACCTATTGAAGATAATGAGTTTGCACAAGTGGCACTGATAAAGTTTGACCTGCAAAACTGGTCTGTCTTGAAGTTATGGGAAGAGGAAAGAGCTCACATTGGCCATCAGATTCCAGGTGTAGCTTGCAAACTGGCAATTAAAATTGTCAGGTGTTAACTTGTAAGTAGAGAACATTTTCCATGAAAAGTATTTCTTGTAAAAGGTGTTTATGTAATCTGGAAGGGGAGAGTCAATACACAAAATGTTGTTTCATCCTTCTCCCAACAGCATGGATTCCTGTGACTGTATAATCTCCCATTTTAAGTGAATGGTATTCCATAACATTGTTGGTTGTGGCCGTGTTGGTCTAAGGACATAGGCAGACAAGGGTTGGGAAGATGTGATATCTTCGATTAGACCAACTGAGTAGTTAGAAAAATTAGTATTCCATAGGCACTCCTACTGGCAGATCCCACTGCAGCTTGTCAGAAGTTATGTGATACATCTAAAATTGCAAAGGGAATTAGAAGCCAGAAGTTCCTGGCTTCCATTTATGTGCTTAGACTTTAGCCATTCTCTTATTTAAAGTCCTAATCTTACGTTGCAGTCAATAAAGGAACTGGATCAGTCATTTAACACTGTTAAATAAAGACAAACAGCACTCTGATTGGCAGCTCTCCAACATAACAAACTTCTGTTTGGTGTCACCAAAGAATACAGCTGTGTAGTTTATTAACGTCACTTCATTGATTCAGTATCACAATAATTGTCCATGCTGCAGGGAATAAGAAAATTTTCAGACAGAAAATCAGTTCTTTATGGGCATAAATCTGAAAGCTGGGGCCTGCAATCTATTCTGTAGGTGCAAAACAAATAAGGAATTGATTCCACAACAGAAGATTTCTACCTGACTGAAAAATATCTCCCATATTCCATATGAAAATAATAATGGAAATATCTAAACATACAGCAAAATAGTTGCATTGTTTAATGTTTCATTTCAGATCAGGAACTGATACTACTTCTTTTTCCACACAAGGTTTTGCTCCTGGAAGACTCAGACCATTTTGATTTATTCAGCCAGTCAGAACGTGAGGAGTTTCTCTTCCGTCTTTTTAAACATCTTTGCCTTGGAGGAACACACTGTCAATTTGAAGATGTACTTGATCCATACTTAGAAACTACAAAGGCGTTATATAAAGATCTTGTGAGGTAAGGGTTTCCCATTCTGAGAAACTGATTTTTCAAACATGCAGTTTTATGTGTGCAGCTGTTCATAAAATTGCACCTACACGTTTTGTAAATTAGGTTATGTTATTAATGCATTTACAGCATACGGTATGAAAGTATTTAAAATTATTTATATTACGCTAGTGCAGGGGCGGGCAATTATTTTGAGTGAGGGGCCACTTACCGAGTTTTGGCAAGCTGTCGAGGGCTGCATTGGTAGTCCCGCCCCTTGACAGATGCCCCACCCCCATCACCATCTTGTGACTGGAAGTCCTGCCCCCTAACCACTGACCTTTGCCACCCAAGTCCCTCCCCTTGCCCCTGGAAGTACTCCTTTCATACACACACGTACTGTCCCTGCCTGCCCCCCCACACTGTCCCTGCCTGCTCACGCACGCACGCGCGCACACACACACACACACACACACACACACGCACGCACACACCCCCGTATTGGCATAGCCTGTACTCCTTGGTCCAGCGATGGAGCTGGCAGCCACCTGGTGCTGGAGCAGGGTGGGGGCAAGAAGAGAGTGAAATGGCTCGGGGTGGGTGGGGGTGGGCGGGATGAGCTGTTCAGTCCTGCTGAGGCTCCTCCCAGGTCCTACGGCCCCTGGCTCTTGTCAGCTTTGACAGGGTTGCTGGGACAGATAAATATTCATTTTCTAAATTTTTTAGGGGACCCGCGGGCCAGATAGAATGGCCTGGTGGGCTGGATTTGGCCTGCGGGCCGTATTTTGCCTGCCCCTGAGCTAGTGAAATACTATTGTTTTACATATGATTTTAACATAATGACAGCTCTCTTATAGTATCTTTCTTTGCTATATTACAAAGCTTAGGCATAGATGACTAACTTAATTCAGTAGTGCTTAACCTCTGGCCACAGAGCTGTGTCATTCAGTCCACAGGGCTCTCCATAGGCGCGTCTACACAAGACGTTTACTGCACAATAGCCTAATTAGCTGTGCAGTAAATATTGCGTGTCTAAACATGCGCCCCTATTAGGCTAGAGTAAACTAATTTACTCTGCAGCAGCATGTGTGCGGACACTGCCTCAGCTGGCTGGGGCACAAGGGTGCTTCAGTGTAGGCCTGCCTGCTGGCTAGCCCCACACTGAAGCACACTTGTGCCTCAACCAGCCCCTTCAGAGCACTTTGAGCCTGGGGGAACAGCTCTGCTTTGGCAGGCTGACCCCCTGGACCGTCTGCCAGCTGGGGCTGCTCCAAGCCAGCTCAACATGCTGCACTCCCAGTTACACATTCAAACAACACTGGAGTTTATTGCATTGTATTAATATGCATGTGTAGATGTACCCCATGGGTCGGTCCAGAAATTTGGCAACGGAAGACTGGTGGCAACTTTAATTGCTGCTTCCCTGCTGCTAAATTTCTGGACTGAGGGGGAGCCTCGTGGGCCAGATAACAAAGGCCTGCATGCAGGGTTGGGCCAGCATGTGCAGTTGGACTGGTGTGCAGTGCTGGAAATTTGGGAAGTACTGCCTAAATTCCCAGTTTAGAGACTTTACTGGTTCCATCAGTTCTGTGTACTGAAAATGGGAAATACTACTGGGACCAGATAATGTGGTCAATTTAATGTAATACCCCCAAAAAAGAGCAGTCTCAGGCAAAATCAATAAACTTTTTTATTCCCTAAGCCAGATTTATGTGGTAACAGAAAAAAATACACTAGCCAGTTGTGGAAATACATAAGCTCTTAATAACTTCATTTTCCATACTCAACATCTTGCTCTCAAAAAATATACAGTGCATAATATCATACCTTTACCTCTAGTTTTGGCAAATTCATACTAAGTTCAAAAGTTAGTGAAATGATACCATGAGTGGTTCTTATTTTTTGCATTGAAGATGCTGAGCATTTGGCCTTGGTTCAGTTAAGCTTTTAAGTACATACATATTTTAAAGATACAAGTAATCCTATTGAAGTTAAGTAATGAAGTTTACATGAAATGAGTCAGTGGGACAAATTCTGCCCTTTACAATTAAGCTTGTACTTAAGAATTTCACTGGATCAAGGCCTAAGTGCTCTGCTTCTTGCAAAATCAAGTTCTCTTTTGTCTTATGAATTAATCCTGAGGAAGGCTATTTAACTCGAAAATTTTGATGCCTTAACAGCCATCTGGAATAAAATATTTGGGGCTTGATTTGTCTCCCATAATTTCCCTAAATAAGCACAATGAAATCAGTGGGGTTGGGCTGGTGTGTGGGGCTGGAACTTTGGGAATTAGAAACCTGATTCTTGTCAACCTGACATAACTGACTGAGGTAAGCATTCAGGGCTTGGTTTAAGGAATCAGGTAGCTTGTTGATTGTTCTTGAGACTGCCCTCCCACTTTTTTCTTTTTGCTATTATATTAAATGGATTTTTAATTTTAATATTGCTTTTCCTGTTTGTAAAGATACATAGTGGCGTATCGTTACAACCTTCCAGAAAACATGGGAAATGGTACACAGGGGAGCAATTTTATAGTAAAGAGTTTGCAGATGATGTAGAATATGAAAATCAATTATAGTATTGGTTTCCTGGTTATAGTTAAAGTAGCAAATATTATAGTAATATATTTTTAACTTAACTACTTAATAGGCTAGTGATAGCAATATTCAAAGCAGGATTTGTACTTTGTATTTTCTGTGTCTGTTTTATACAGAAGTTTAAAAATTAAAGCTAGCCATCCAACATACCAGTTAGAAGCCATCATATTTACCTTCAAATTTAAGATGATTCCCCCCTCCCCCAATAATTAGATTTTGTTCATGGAAGATACATAAATTTGTTTTAATTTTCCATGTATAAAGTCTGAGTACTGGAAGGTTGTCTTAAATTTGTCCCTCCCACAGCTGTGGGAGAGAAAGCAGTGGTGGAGGTCAAGGGAGCAGACCCCCACCCCTTGCCCCCTGCCTGGTCCTCCATGCCTGTGCCTGCCCCCCTGTTGCCTGCCCTGCCCCCATGCCTGTGTTTGCCACCCTGCTGCCTGTCCTCCCCTGCCACTTGCTCCCACTAGTGCCTTCCTCCCCTGCCACTTACCTCCTAGCCCCCTCCATGCCTGTTCCTGCCTCCCTGCCACCTCCTCCGTGGCCTACCCCTGGTCTTCCCAAGTACGTACATTTGGGGCCAGTCTGGCTCTGGGGGAGAGAGGCCAGTACTGGGGCCACTGCTGCTGTCTAAACAAAAAGAGTGGCAGCAGCTCCAGGCCTTGCTGGGTTGGGGCTAGAGCCAGAGCCTAAGGTAAGTGATGGCGGGGGTTTCTCTTTTGCACTCTCCACCCCAACTGCAGGTCTCCCTGTACACCACTCCCCTGGTGTGGGTCTCCTCTACACTCCCCCAACAATGCACCTGTTCTCTAACTGTATGAACCACCTCAACCTGGGGCAGGCAACGACTCAGCTCTGGCTTTGGTCCCAAGGCCAAGGCTGAAGCTGGAGCTGAGTCGCTGCCTGCCCCTAGCTGGTACTCATGTCTAAGATAAGGCTTTTTTTACCCATGATGATTGGAGGAAAAACCCTTGTCTTAGATTCAAGTAAATAAAGTAGGTGTTTTCATTTTGAATTAATATCCTGTTGAGGGGGAAACCTTGTTTATCATGGACTTTATCCTTTGGGTGCATTATTTTATGCTGAACATTAAAATTACACCGTGCAGGCTGATAGCTGTTTTATTTAACTGATCCAGTCACCTATTAGCAAGTCATGGAAGTAACTTTGTAGAGTTAAATAGTCCACTTGAAAGATTCAGAATTTCTACTAATTGTAATAAAGCTCAAGAAAGAAATATTGTAAATTGAGCAAAACATAGGCCATATGATGATCTTAGTTAAAATCTAGAACTATGGTTCAAAATTATTTTATGTTGTGCTTTCTCCACCTTTGCTTATACATTTTTCTGAAACTACAATAAATATGTATGCATCAGCCTCTTGGGAATTCAGGATAAAATTGTCACTTGTCCTTAGGCAGAACCCAGAGTTGTAAACAAATATGAGACACTTCCTACACTACCCAGGGTTTGGAATGGAAGAGGGAGAAGGAGGCGTGAGTTGGCCCAGCAATGCTCCTACTTTCACTATTTTTTTCTTTGCCACAAGCAAGTAGGAGGAAGACAACAGAGGGGTGGAACACAGACTTTTGCTAGTCTTAATGTGTTAGACGAACCAAGTCAACATGATAGAGAAAACAAATACCGCTTTATAAATTGCTACAGTAGCTTACTCCCACTGTGAAAAATGGAACTAGGGTAGGAGGTGTGAATCCCAAAGCTGTGTTTCTTTCCCATGGCTGCCTCAGAGGTGGAATAATTACAGTACCTCAGTACTATGCTAGATAAAAAATGTTAATCTAGCATTTAGGTTTGGTATCTGATGTTTATATCTGCAATATGCTGTTTTCCATCACTTGTTTGAAATTTGCCTGTAGTGTCATGTGGATAATTACATATTTGTTCCTATAAAAAAAAAGTATTTTTCAGCTTTTCTTCAGCAGTCTAGAATCTAGTCTCTTTTTTTGTTAACTTTAAAAGCAGGGCTGTCCCTGGGGGGGGCACAAATTGGGGTGACCAGCCTGGGCCCCGCACTTTGGGGGGCCCCACAGGCAGTGCCGTACAGACCCTGCCGCCAGCTTCTGCGGGCAGTCGCCACCCCCACCTGCCAGCCCTGCATAGGCTGATATGCCCCGGGCCCCACACACCCCTAGGGATGGCTCTGTTTAAGTGAATAACTTAAATTGCAGCTATTCCAAACCTCTCATTTGATTATAAAGAAGAGTAAATCACCGTATATGTAATTTACCAATAATAAAAAGAGTAATCTGGACAAATATATAATGCAGTCTATACTCAGGTGAGTGTTTTCATTGACTTATATGGCACTTTTACATGGGGACTGCAGTTTCTGCCTATAGAACTGGACAGTTGCTTTTCTGATGGCATTTTCTTTTTGGAATTTTTGTATCAACTTTAGTAATTTTAGCTAA